GGTGTTCGGACAGGGGAAGTTGTGCTATAACGGAAAAACTCAGTGCGGTCTGGGTTCCGGTTCTGTTACACAGGGGGTGCCAATATTTTTGGCCATGACTGTATATTGGAATGTTTTTTTTCTTTTATGCACTACTAATAGCAGTGAGCAGCAACTTATAATGGGACTACAACAGTGCAGCAGGCAATCTGACACTAACAGGGAACTGGCTAACTGCCATTTACATCACCAGTGACACTAATACAGTGATCAGAGACAATACTATACACTGTCATTGTACTAATGACACGGGCTGGGAAGAGGTTAACATCTAGGGTGATCAAGGAGTTAAATGTATGCCTAACAATGTGCAATGTGTGCTGCTTTCACTAACAAATATCTTTGATTCCTATTCCTGCTTTGCAGGGTTTTTGTTCCCTCTGTACAGAGCTCTGTGTTGACTGTCAAACACAGGGCACTGGGCTGTGATTGGACACAGCCAATCAGCAAAACCTGGCCATGAATCATTGGCCGGGACTTGGTGACACACTCCCACTGTGTACAATCACAGCAGGTGATGGCAGGGGGGCACGCATGTGTGCGCCCTATACCCGGAAGCAGGCAGTGACGTACCAGTACATTGCTGTGCCTGCACAGGCCGCCCATTCACAGTACATTGAGGGCAGGCAGTCCTTAAGTGTTTAAAGGAGGTAAACATGTCAAGGGGAATTACCTTATTTTATGTAGCCATCAGCACAGCAAAAGACAGTAAGGCCATGTACATATCATTTTATAAATCTATGGCAAGAGAAAGGGTTTGAATATATGTATTTTAACTGTGTGTTCAGTTATGTGGCAAAAGATGTTCCTTAAAGCAGAACTCCAGGCAGATATAAAAGACGTTTATTAATTCAGCTAAGTATTGCTTAATAAATCATGAAAGCTGATTTCACGCTGTTCTGTGTGTGTTGCGTCAGGTATAAATGGGTCCATATAGTGGTGTATTTAGATTTTGTGGTGCCCTAGGCATCACAAAAATTTTGTGCCCCCCCAATGAGAGTGCCAAAGAGTTCAATAAGTGTGTGTATGTATATACGTTTCTCTCTCTCTCACTTCCCTCTCTCTCTCTTCTTTCTCCCCCCCAAGCTCCTCCAAGGGCTGCCGAACTTCGGGCAGCAGAAAATGTGGGCAGGGGGTGGTAATCATACTGTGTGTGTGCAGTCCCATACGATCTGTCAGTGATCGTGTATCATATACTGGATGGACGACAAGAGAGAGAGCTCAGAGAACATAAAACAGCTCACCTCCTCCCATCTCTTTCATCTCCGCCACTTGTCCTCTCCCTGCTCCAGACTTTCCCCTGGTCCTGGATCTGAGTGCGGGTGGGGGAAGGAGCTCAGCGAAGAGCAGCCACTCAGGAACATCAGGGCACCCCCTCCATCCGGCCAGGTCTGTAGAAAGCAGTAGAAAGCCAGCCGGAGGGAGAGGGGGAGAAACCTCAAACTGGCTCTCAGTTGCTGGAGGGAGAGATACACAGTGCATCCTTCTGCAACTGCTCTCCCCCACCACACCGATTCTCCTGCTGTCTGGGCCACCTTCAGGACTACCGGTGGTACGCCATTGATGGCGGCCCTGCATGGCTCTGTCCGCAGCTGCTCAAGAGGTCCCTTCTTCCGGGAGGGCAGTGCCGCCCCCCTAAAATAGCCACCCTAGGCAAACGCCTTGTTTGCCTCGCGGTAGATACACCCCTGGGTCCATATAGATTCCCTATCAAACTAAACTACAGCTCATAAATATGTACCAACCAAATAGGAATAACTGGGATTCTACTTGTACTGAATTTTTAAATACAGTAAGTGTAGGTAACTGGATTTGACCAGGTATCAGTCTCTTGTAATCCCCTGTATATCAGAATCCAGACTAAGAGAAGGACGGGTAGTACTAGAAGCTAATCAGGTGTGCTTCATGAAAATGTGCTAAGAAGGAGCAAGCTTGTAGGCAGGTGCCTACTTTACTGTGTTCTGTTCTTAGAATTATGCTTGTGTGTACTGTAACTTTAATTGCTGGTTGGTGCTGTAAGGGGTCAAGATTTGTTCCTTTCCTTACTTCCTTTGTAACTGTATGGCTTCTTTTTTTGGAGGGTATAAATACAGGGGACGAGCTGCCTCGTGGTCAATGTCTGGGATGGAAATGAAAGAGAGAGGACCTGTCATGACTATGTGATCTTTTCAGTCTGTGTCACCCTCCAGCAGGACCTGATCTCAGTTTCCAGATAAATGGACTTTACATTTAACAGAGAATAGACAGCACCACCAATGAGGGCATATGGCATGGTATAACAATACAGCCAAATGTTCTATATGGCAGAGAAGAATCTAAGCTACTTAAAGATGTTATGTACTTACTGTGAAAATGTCCTGATATGTGGAAAAGTTTATTTATTAAAAAATGTTTTTGTCGTAAGAAGACTTGCCTAATCTGAATAGCTTGAGAGGGAACCATAAATACATAGTTTGTTCAATTCAATCAATGCGCTGAATGAAAAAAAACCTCACAGATCCCTTCACTATTGTATTCTTACAGTGTGGACTTCCCCCCGTCAAAATACACAGATCAGCACTGCAGCCATTGTCTGCATGAGCTGATTGAATGCAGATTTTCCAGCAGGACTGTTTGACAGAAGCCAGTTATTAGACCGGCTTCTCTTGGACAGACAGTAATACACACATGCTGAAATTTGGTATGTATATATCCAGCAGTGGTGTATTCTAGTACATAACTATGACACCAGTTATGGGTCCAAATCTTACAACACAGTTATGTTGCGCACTTGACATTGAGCGTGCCAAGTCAGCCTAACCGTACCTTGTCTCCGGATTGGCAGCTGAAGTTCTGTGCTAAGGATTTCATTGTTATTTTTAATTTGCTTTACTCAGCTTTTGTTCTTTTTTTCAATATATTCTACTTAGAGCAGCGGTTCTCAACCTGGGGGTCGCGACCCCTTTGGGGGTCGAACGACCATTTCCCAGGGGTCGCCTAAGACCATCGGAAAACACATATTTCTGATGGTCTTAGGAACCGAGACACCGCTCCTGTCTCCGCCTCCTCGCCGCTGATTGGCCACCGGAACTGTAGCTCAGGAGAGGCACACAGGCAGCCAATCACCGGCGATGAGGTGGAGCTTGGAGAGGAGGCGCCGAGCGGCAGCGCGCGTAGATCAAAGAAGATCGAGGGAGCTGCAGGAGCGAGTGAAGAGAGAGGCCAGAGAAGGAAGACAGCTGACAGGTAAGTGCAAATTTTGCTGCTGCAGCCAGGTATGCAGGCTCTAGATGGGAGAGGGAGAGAGCGAGCGAGACCAGGCTGGAGCAGGGGTCAGCAAGGTAAGTATCATTGGTGTCAGTGGGAGGGATAGTGCCCATCATTTGTGTCACTAATACCAACGTTGGGGCACTATTCCTCCCCCCACTGACACCAACGATGGGGCGCTATTCCTCCCCCCACCGACACCAACGATGGGGCGCTATTCCTCCCCCCACCGACACCAACGATGGGGCGCTATTTCCTCCCCCCACCGACACCAACGATGGGGCGCTATTCCTCCCCCCACCGACACCAACGATGGGGCGCTATTCCTCCCCCCACCGACACCAACGATGGGGCGCTATTCCTCCCCCCACCGACACCAACGATGGGGCGCTATTCCTCCCCCCACCGACACCAACGATGGGGCACTATTCCTCCCCCCACCGACACCAACGATGGGGCACTATTCCTCCCCCCACCGACACCAACGATGGGGCACTATTCCTACCACTGACACCAACGATGGGGCACTATTCCTCCCACTGACATCAGTGATGGGGCGCTAGTCCTCCCACTGCAAAATTACAGTTATGAAGTAGCAACGAAAATAATTTTATGGTTGGGGGTCACCACAACATGAGGAACTGTATTAAGGGGTCGCGGCATTAGAAGGTTGAGAACCACTGACTTAGAGGCTTATGGCTACTATGATATTATGGCCATATGACCGTGTGTTTAATATAATGTATGTATTATGCGAAGCCACAAATAAATTAAGAATTAAAAAAAAAGTGGTGTATTCAAAAGAACTGGGAGCTGGGGTTCCAGCCATATGTAGCCCTCTGGGTTAAGAAGTGAGGGTTTAAGCAGTAACAAGTGAAACCAAGTTACCCTTGTGTTATGCATTTCAAGTGGACATTCTAATCAACCTTTATGCTTTGAGAGCAACTGTGTGTGAAGTGGGGAGCAGAAGGAGTAACAGCCATTTGGCAGCAGAGGTGGAGAAGGTGGCAGGTGATGGGGGTCTTGGTAGTGATGCAACAGGTGGCACTTCATGTTCCTCATTTAGAGACTGGAACTCCATATAGGAGCTCCTTGTGGTAAAAAGCCTGCCTAGGGACCTAGCCTCAAGTGATGGGATGCAAGGCCTCGCTGGAGTAAAGTGTGGTAGTCTCCCTGTGCACCTAATGGTGGGATGTGTACATTATCGTATCACATGAAGATGTCAGATAGACTGGTGAGTGAAGTACATACTTGGTATTGCTTTCTCAAAATACTAGGGAGTCCGTTATCGAGGTAGTTAGGAACAGATCTAGCTGCTGGCTGAAGAGAGGACATAGTCCTTGTAAGTGTTTGGGGCTCAAAGAGTTAAGTGGCCTCTGGCTTTCACAAGTTAATGTCCACACGGACTGAGTGTCTTTAGTGTATAAAGTTAAATGGTTTGCAGTGCTTGCAGGTGCCCCTAGAGAGAGATGGGAGAGTTCAAACTCCTACCTCCTTACAAACTGAAAGGAGGGAGGAGCAGAGAGATTACCTCATCAGTCTACTATTGCTCCTTCATTGTCCAGTCTGTGGTGGAGAAAAAAGACCATTATGTTGTAACAGACAAATTGGTGTCATCCACCTTGATGAGCTGTGCAATAAGATGTGCGTAAATCTTGGGACTGAAGGAACAGAAATACAAATAATTTGGATGTAGACATATAAGAGACACTCACCTTGCAAGAGACTGTCCCATACACCTGCCATGTGTCACTATCATCACCTTTATCATACTGAGTGGAGTTCACTTTCTCTGTGATGAAGACTTCGATCTGAGCTTTACCCTTCTGTTTGCTGGTCCCCCATGCTGGGGCTTTATAAGTTTGGTTTGTAGAGATACTGCTCAGACTCTCTGGCAGAGCAGAAAAATTAGTGTCCACAGGAGAACCCAGAGGACAGGCCCGAGTGACTAGAAGTGGCAGTTGGGCCATCTTGGATGATACGTCTGCGTCTGTGCTGTGTTTTGAGTTGATGAACTGCATCATACCGTACAAAAGAGAAAATGCTTCGGAGATGCTGTTAATACTTATAAGTGGTGGGGTGGGTATCAGTAACTGTTCCACCAGAGGCAGGCACACATAGATAAAGTCACCATCTGGAATGGCAAGGACAGGCCAGAGTTTCCTGTCAGCAACAGTCACCGAGTGCACATTGGTTTTAGTGATTCTGGAACAATTATCCCTGTATTCCACAAAGGTTTCATTATCGTCTGGTAAACCTAGCTCACACAGCAATGCTTTTAAAAGGTCTTTATCCTCTGGAATGGATGCATAGCTTGACTTATTAAAACCCTTGGCTCTTTTCTCTACAGTAGGGTAACGCCTGCAAGATACCAAAAGAGAATTACATTTTTACAGCAAATTCCAGCATTCCAGCAAAACAACTTTAATTGAACTGCTAATCCTTCCTAGGAAACACTAAAACTGTGGCCCTGGCTGATTTAGCTTTGCTTTGCTAATGGTGCTTGACTTTCCCAGACTTCATTGTTAAAAGCTGACATGCATATTACAATCTGACTGTACAATTTCTAAGCAACCACCTTTAGGTTTACCAAAACAATGTAAACTGGGAGCAGCCAGGACATTTGTATCCAATCATGAAGGACCTTGCACAATAGGGTTTGTTGGAAGACTTGGTTGCTGGTATGCTGCTCATCCAGCAGTGCATTTGTGGGAACTGCAGTGAAATTGCATGGTTAAAAGTCCATGCGTTTCCCTGCGACCGCATTTTTAAAAAGGTGCATGCACCTTTTTTTTTGTGGAAAACACAGCCATGGCCATTGGTCTGCTGTGCCCACGCAAAGGCTGGCAAGCAAACGTCTGCAGAAGTGTGAACCAGGGCTTAAAGTAGATTGAACGATCAGATGGAAGGCTTGCCTAGGGATGATAGCCACCCTATCGTCAGCTGGGCATGCCTTCCAAAGCTGATATTATATTATGGGTAGGGCTGCAACTAACGATTATTTTCATAATCAATTCATTGGCAGATTATTGTTTCGTTTAATCAGATAAAAACCTCCAAAAAGTTTGGTGTATAATTTAGTTAATATGTAAAGTTTAAAAAAAATCAATTTATTCTTGAATATCTATATGCAGTAGGAAATATAAATAACCAGCTATATAGTTAGCGAACAAAATATCTTATCCACTCTGAGAAGAAGAATGGACAGAAGAGATACTGCTCAAACAATGTAACGGAACACTTTGAAAACACATCAGATTCTCCTGGAGAATCTGAGGTGCAACCTGGCGGTGTCAGATGGACCAACATATGATATCCCAGAGGTGTTCTATTGGATTTAGGTCAGGCAAGCATGGGAGACATTCAATGGTATCAATTTCATCATCCTCCAGGAACTGCCTGTATACTCTTGCCACATGAGGCCGGGCATTGTCATGCAGGAGGAACCCAGGACCCACTGCACCAGCGTAGGGTCTGACAATGGGTCTAAGGATTTAATCTATACCTAATGGCAGTCAGGGTGCCATTGTCTAGCCTGTAGAGGTCTGTGCGTCCTTCCATGGATATGCCTCCCCAGACCATCACTGACCCACCAACAAAACGGTCATGCTGAACAATGTTACAGGCAGCATAATGTTCTCCACGGCTTCTCCAGACCCTTTCAAGTCTGTCACATGTGCTCAGGGTGAACCTGCTCTCATCTGTAAAAAGCACAGGCGCCAGTGGCGGACCTGCCAATTATGGTGTTCAATGGAAAATGCCAATCAAGCTCTATGGTGCTGAACAGTGAGCACAGGGTCCACTAGAGGGCGTTGGGCCCTCAGGTCCCCCTCATGAAGTCTGTTTCTGATTGTTTGGACAGAGACATTCACAACAGTGGTCTTCTGGAGCTAATTTTTTAAGACTCAGGCAGTGCTCATCCTGTTCCTTCTTGCACAAAGGAGCAGATACCAGTCATGCTGATGGGTTAAGGACCATCTACGGCCCTGTCTCTCCCAGAGTAATTGCCTGTCTCCTGGAATCTCCTCCATACTCTGGAGACTGTGCTGGGAGACGCATCAAACCTTCTGGCAATGTCACGTATTGATGTGCCATCCTGGAGGAGCTGGACTGCCTGTGCAACCTCTGTAAGGTCCAGGTATCACCTCATGCTTCCAGTAGTGACACTGACCCTAGCCAAATGCCAAACTAGTGAATAACAGTCAGAAAAGGTGAGTAGGGAAAGAAATATCAGTGGCCTCCACCTGTGGTTTGGGGGTTGTCTCATTGTTGCCCATCTAGTGCACCTATTAATTTCATTAACACCAAAGCAGCTGAAACTGATTAACTGACCAGATCAATATCCAAGGAGTTTAATTGCCTTGATGCTATACTCTGATTAAAAAGTGTTCCTTTAATTTTTTGAGCAGTGTATACTATTAGAGGTTGAATCTGGTACATATCATCAGACTCAGAGATCAAAATTTTAATTAAAGAAATTTTTTTTTTAAAAAGACCTAAAATGCTGTTTTGCTGATTTTCTGACAGGATTGTAAAATACCTGTACTATTACACATGCCAAACTCCCTTGTCATAGTCAGGTAGCTTGATAGAAGCTAGCTGCACCTGCTGTCACTAATGCTGGTTATACATGAACACATTTGTCCTTCAAAAATATTTCATTTTAAGAATGTTCGTTCTATTGTCTAATTGTTAGTGGGGTCCAATCGATATTGATTTTTGACCACAGTGACGGAAAAATATGAAGGAGCAGAATAGAACATTTTTTTTTAGATCAAATGAATTTGTAGACAGCGCATGTGGTTTTCATTCAGAAAATACACTCATGTTATAATTTACATGTGAAAAGCAAGTGAATTTTTCACATGACGTTCCTCCATCCATGTATGTAGAATTTTCATACAAATATTCTCATCCAAAAATCAGTAAGTGTATGGCCATCATAAGACATTTAGGTGTCCGTTTATGAACCAGCAGTAATAGATCGCTGCTCAGTTCTCCAGCATTCTCGGAGAACACAGTTCTACTGTGAATGCCGTTTATGAAGCATATGTAGATCAGTTCTCCAAACGAAGGGAGAACGGTCTACAAACGCTGGAAAACGGCTGATTTTACTATAATCTCACGAGATTACAGTAAAAGATCAGTTTACTAAGCAGAGGTAAGTTATCTCTGCTTAGTTTGCGGTCCCTCCGATTCTCCAGCTCTGGGCTGGAGAATCTGGAGGGAGAACACAGATCTCCAGTGAAGGGCTGAACATGTTCTCCTGAGTGTTATAAACTGTGAATGACCAGAGAATAGCTGCGATCCTCTGAATCACAGCTATTCTCTGTGTCATAAAAGGACACCGTAGTAGCAGCAGCATGTATTTTTTATTTAATTACCTGTCATGATGGGGTTAAAAAAGCAAAATTTAGCCGGTTATATTACAAAAACTGCAGACTATCACTGCTATAAGGGGTTAATTTATACTGTGAAACAACAAAAGTGATTTTATATATATGTGTGTGTATATATATATATATATATATATATATATATATATATATATATATATATATATACACCCACAAGGGTATTTTTTAACGGGAATGAGATATGAAGCTATATGGTGTAGGGGGGATTTAAATCTTTTATATTAACCCCTTCATGCCTAAGGGTATAACAAATCTTAAATCCTAAGTAAAATTTTACAACTTTGTTTTAGTACAAATTTGTGTTAGTAAAACTGTACATATCATCACAACTACTTTGTACATCCAGGTGAATTATACCGTGTTTTTTTCAGGACAAATTGGGCTTTCATTTGGTGGTAAATGGTAATGGATATCTGCGCATTTTGTTTTCTTGTTCAAACATTTTATTGGCATTGTAACATGGGGAAAAAGACATTGACAGTAGACATTACACTGATGGGAAAACAAATGGAATAATGGTCACAGTAATAATGTCTTTGTGGATATGGGGGGGAGGAAGGATTAAAAGAACAAAACAACATTTCTCATGATATTAAATGGGCAAAAACTATAATCAGAAGTTAACAATATATCAGAAAGAGTTTGACAGGTGGAGATGCAAACTCCCCAAGGCTACATGAGGGGGTTAGGGTAGTCAGAAGGAAAGCGGGGGGAGGGGCAAAGAAAATGACTCCACAACTGGCAGAGAAGGGTGAAGTAATATGCAAATGCGGTAAGAAATGGTACCAGAATAATGCAGAACATGTATAGCTTGCATATCACGGGTGAAGAAGTGACTCATCAAAATTTGGCAGAAGGAAACACTCTACCCAGGGGTTCCAGACACTCAAGAATTTAGGGATAGTATCTAGGATTGTAGCCTCCACCTTGGCGTGAATCATGGCTTGAGTAACTCTATTCTTAACAGCAGCAATGCTTAGAGAGGAAGATTTCCAGGACTTTGCTATGACCTGGTAACTTGTAGAATGAGTTTAAATTGCGAATTGGTTACGCCGGGAGGGCGTAGGTTGAGTAGAGCTGTTATCGGATTTGGTTGAAGTGTATTTACACTAAGTTTGGATAGTATGCTAAAGACGTTAGCCCAAAAGGTTTGAGTGATTGGGCAGTCCCACCAGATATGGTAATGTGTTCCCAGGTCCACACAGCCTCTAAAGCATGTGGGGGAATAATTAGGGGTGTATTTTGCAATTCTCGCTGGGACCAAATACCAACGGGTTAAAACTTTATATTTGGTTTCCAAGGCTACAATATTTTGTAAGGATGATTTCGTGTTGGCCCAAATGTGGTCCCAGTCAGATGGGTCTAATTGCCGGCCAAGGTCCATTTCCCACCTATGGGTATATGAAGGGGGGGACGTGGTGACCGAGGTTGTGAGAAGGAAATACAGGCAGAAAATGAGGCCGCGTCTATGGGGGTCTTTATAACAAGCACGTTCAAAGGGAGACATGGTGTTAGTTTGGTTAGTTATTGTAGTGTAGGGGGCGTAAAAGTGTTGTAATTGTAAGTATCGGAATATTTCGGAAGCTGGGAGGTCATATGTTTCGCGTAGCAAGGCAAAGGATTTAAACTTGTTCCTCAGCAGAAAATGATGGGTGCGGAGCAGGTTAGCAGAGGTCCATAGTTTGAATGAGGTTGGTGATGACCATGCTGGGGGAAAGGCCGGGTTCCGGAGATATGAGAGCAAGGGGTTATGCGGTGATTGAAGGAGATAGCGAGATTTTAGTTTGTCCCATAGTGATAGATAGTGAGAGGTAATGGGGTTCGTTATCGAGCGGCGGTCTATTGGTCTTAGCCAAAGCAGGTTAGCAGTAGACAAGGGATCGCATTCTATAGATTCAAGGACAATCCACTGAGGGATTTCGTAGGTCGCATGGTATTTTGGCAACTGTGCTAAGTGTGCCGCCTAGTAGTACTTGCCGATATCAGGAAGACCAAGACCGCTGTGGAGCTTGGGGTGGTGTAGGGTGGAGCGGGGTATGCGGTGGTGGACAGTATCCCAGACGCAGGAAAAAATGCAACGTTGTAGTGTGCGAAGATAATGTGTGGGTACCGGGATTGGGAGAACTCTGAATAAATATAAAATTTTGGGAAGAATTGACATCTTTACGACTGCTATTTTGCCTAGCCATGCAAGTGGTAGGGAGGACCATTTGGTCATGAGAGCAGTAAGGTGGGTTAGCATAGGAGTATAATTAGCTGCATATAAATCTGATATGTTGGGGGTCAATTTAATACCCAAGAAAGGAATATGATGCTGTGACCAGGGAAATGGAAGAATCTGTTTCAGGTGGGCCAAATCTTTAGGAGGGAGGGAAATATTAAGTGCCATTGATTTCTGGGGGTTTATTATAAGGCCAGAGAGTGAGCCAAACCTCTCGAGAAGCCGGAGGAGAGAAGGAGAAGAAGTCAAGGGAGAAGTGAGAAAAAGTAGAACGTCATCTGCAAAAAGGCATAATTAGTGGTGAGAGCCATCTATCTCGAGTCCACGGACATCCGGATTAGCTCTAATTAGGAGGGCCAATGGTTCTATGGCCAAAGCAAAGAGCAGGGGGGAAAGAGGGCCGCCCTGTCTAGTGCCACGAGAAACTAGAAACCGGGCAGACCTCTGTCCTAAGTATCTAATTCTGGCCGAGGGCTCCCAATGTAGTGAAAAGATCCAGGACAAAAAGTGAGGGCCAAAGTCCCAACGGAGCAGAATGTAGCGCAGATATGGCCACGAAACTGTGTCAAACACCTTCCGGATGTCTAAGGACAGGAAACAGGTGGGAATTTTGCGAGAATTAGCAATATGTGCCAAGAGAGTTGCGCGTCTGATGTCTCCGGCTTGTTGAGTTGGAATGAAGCCCACTTGATCATTGTGGATTAGAGAGCCTATACACGAATTGAGGCGCGTAGAAAGAATTTTGGTTAGTAATTTGATATCTATGTTGAGGAGAGAGAGATTGGCCTGTAATTGGACCACTGCATGTCGTCCGAATTTGGTTTTGGGATCATTGAGATGTTGGCTTGCACTGTTTCTGGGTTGAAGGTATGGCCCGATAATATGGCGTTAAAGCATTAGTAAGGATGGGCGTTAGAAGGTGGGCAAAGTTTTTGTAATATGTGGCGGAAAAACCATCAGGTCCTGGGCGTTTACAAAGCTTTAAATATTTAATATCGTTTAAGGTTTCGGTTGGGGTAATGGGTTGCTCTAAAGCTGTCAGTTGGTGCTCCGGTAGTTTCGGGAAAGAGAGGGAGGCTAGGAGGGTGTCAGCCTGGGAAGGGTCAAAGGGTGTGGAGGAAGAGTAAAGTCGTGAGAGATGTTTATGAAGGATTTTTAAGATGTGTTCTGGGTTACTAGTGGGATTGCCAGAAGAGGTGCGTAACCGAATAGGTCTGGTGATCTGATCAAGCCTATGAAGCGAAAGAGCTAAAAATGTGCTGGGTTTATTTGCTTTAGTATAGTATTTGTGTCGGGATCTACGAAGTGAAAGCTCCGCCTGATCCGTGAGGGAAAGATCCAGGGCCAATCGAGATCGTTCCAGAGCTTCACGGTTGGCTGTGGAATGGGTTGCTTGGAAGGCTTGATGAGATTGGTTGTAGGTTTGTTCAAGGAAAAGGCGTTGCTGTCTTTTCTCTTTAAAAAGGACGCTTTGCTAATGCAGAATCCCCATAAGACAGGTTTATGTGCTTCCCAAAGTAGGAGGGGAGAAATATCAGGTGTCTGGTTTAGAGATAAGTAATCTTTGAGAGCGGCTTCGATATCTGAACAATGGGTTGGGTTTGCTAGCAAGTTGTCTTTGATGATCCAGGAGGGGTCAGTAGGGGACCCCTCCTGGGGGTCAGCTATGGTCCGACCAAGGAATTGGAAGTATTTCAGTGGCTAAAAGCTGGGAGGAGGAGCTAGCAGTTATGAGAATGTGATCTATTCTAGAGAAGGTCTTGTAGGGGTGAAACTAGAAAGTATATTAACGTTTAATGGGGTTAAGCTCTCTCCAGGTATCTATCATGGAATAACACTGTAGTATGGTTTGGAAGGTTTGTTTGGGGGTAGGAAGGGGGTAAGGTTGAGGGGACTTGTCAAGGAAGGGATATAAGGTACAGTTTGAATCTCCGCAGACAAACTGAGTACCTCGTTTGTGGTGATCTATAACCGAGAATAAGTGGGAAAGAAATGGTAGGGGACCTTGATTTGGGGCATAATATGTAGCAATGGTAACGTCCACATCTAAGAGTTGTCCGATTAGCAAGAGATAACAACCCTCAGGGTCTTTGATCTCATTACCCAGTGTAAAGGGTGTCGAGCGGTGGAAGGCGATGAGCACCCCTCTGTGTTTGGTTGTGACATAGGCCGTATAGACCTGTGGGGCATCGTGGTTCTAGTGCCTTGTGAACCCTGTCCATTTCTAAGCGTTCAATTGGAATGGCTGGGGCAAGCTCTTGGAATAGCACTGTGATGGTTGGTTGATTGGACGTCAACGACCGATTCTGGAAGGCCACGGATTCGTAAATTTGAGCGCCTTGCCCGTTTTTCAAAGTCCTTGAGATGCAACGCATTTTGTTTTCTTACCTAAAACACACTGACACCAATTTTAAAAAAAACAAAAAATCCTGACCTTTGACCCTGGCCCAAACACTAACCCTGGCACTGAACTGGATCAAACCTTAATCTAGGTATTTTTTCTTTTATTTTTTAATGATTATTTATCTTATGTAATGATTATGATTATGTAACATGTTCCCATAGTTGCAGCAGCAGCCGTGTCTGCTGCTCCTCTCCCTCTGACAGATAATATTGGGAGAAGTTTCCCCGTACTATCTGTCAGATTTGAAAACAGCACAGCTGTGCGGGCTCCACCCACACAGCCGCATCATTCAGTCATTCACGGGCTTTCCTGAATGAATGAACTGCAAGTCACGACAGCCTTAGCAGCTGTGGGCTTGTAGTTTTCAATGAACTCAACTGACTTTTTCACCAAAGGTGGTTTCTAGTTTTCATCAGGACATTGTTCTACCTTAATTTTTTACTAGGCCGCAGTTGACAAGGAAGAGATCCTTGCATATCCTGGATGTGGTATGCGCTATATGGGTCTTCCTGAAGTTGACGGCGCAGGTTTCTTATTGGATCCACCAGCTGATCAGTCAAGCCTATGGTTTGAAAGGTAAGGTCCCACCCTTTCGGGTAAGAGCACATTCTACCAGGAGTGTGGGGACATCTCGGACAATACGCCATCAGGTGTCAGTTGCTCAGATTTGCAAGGCCGCTTCGGTTCACATGTTCGCAAGGTTCTATCAGGTGGATATTAAAGCCGCGGGAGGACTCTGCCTTTGGTCACAGTGTCTTGTGAATGGCTGAATTATTTTTTTGTGAACTGTGAATGTTTACATGTTATGTGCAATTAAACCATGGCAACATCTAATGTTTGTGTAGTATTATGTTCAGCAGACTGTGTTCTTCTACTGTTGTGACTTAGATGACGTTCAGAGCACATTTTATGCCCAATTCATGCAAAACTCCACGTAATCCCAAGGGGTTCACATACTTTTTCTTGCAACTGTAAATAATTGTTCTTCATACATTTGGGCCAAAATGTATACGGCTTCATTTCTTTTGTGAAAATAACTCATATTAGTGTATATTATTTAGTCTGTGGGAAAGTTACAGAGTCAACAAACTATGATATATATCTGAAAATCGATCAATTCTGATGTACTGCCGACCTATCTAATTTCTTGAGGTCCAAAAATGTCAGAACAGCATAGATATCCCCTAAATTATCTTTTTGGAAAGTAGACAGTCTGCGGTATTTAGTAAGAGGCATGGTGAGTTTTTTGAAGCGGTAATTTTTTGGAAAATAAAAAATTAAAGAATGTTTTCACAATTTTTTTTCTTTTTTTACTTACTGGCAAGCATTTAACTGAATGAAATTGATTCATTCAGTGTTTTTTGTTGTGATTAGCCACAGCTAATCACATGACACAGATGGGCTGTGATTGTTCCAGTCTGTACCATGTGATCACTGTGAACAATCACAGCTAGCAACACAACTGTATACAATGGATGACATGAAAGGAACCCCTTCTAATTGTCATGTGACCTGCTGTGATTGGTCACAGTGGTTATATGGTACCGCCAACCAGCCGGTACACAGATCGGTCATCAGATTACATCATCTATTTTCTATTTGCTGGGTGGGAACTAGTTAAAAATCGAATTCAAGGTTCAAGATTTTGTCTGTGTTACATTATTAGGGATGAGGTACCATGTTCTATCATGAGTCCAGCATGAACTCTTTTCTTTTAATATATAATGTATAAACTGGTTTATGTCAAGCTTTTATTATTTTCCCTAAACTACTTAAAGTGAAAGTAAAACTGGACATCAGATTTAAATTATTGTGCTAGCTCCTAGGATTGTATAACTGGATCCTGAATTGCACACTAATTAACTATTCCTAATTTGACGACTGCTGTTGCCACTGAGAGTGAGACAGAAAATAAATATCCATCTGATTTTATTTTCTCTCACAATCTGTCATGAAGTATCATGTAGTGATCTCAATAGTAAACTTTAGTTTCTCACACATTGTACATGCACAAAATGCAGACTGCATATTAAAAACAGAATTATACAGCGTGAGTAATAGCACATCAATATGTAAAATAATAAATAATAGAATTACCTGGAGAATTTTACTGATCCACATTCCCCTGATTGGTAGCTTAAGATCCACAATCCGCGAACAGGCATTATGGTGTAAGGAATGCCCACAAATCATGTACGCTGTACTTGTAACTCTGTAAAAATGAAATCAAAGAAAGTTGTTTGCATCATGGTGCTAATTATTTTCAGCAGAACTCAACCCTTCTATCCTTTACAGCTGTCACCTTAGCCTCTGATATGCAACTGCCATGGGGCTGCACATGTGATCAGTTATGACACCAGTCATTTGATGGTTTGACAGTTTGGTTGAGAACACAAGCAAATGTAACAGTTACATTCCCATCATGCCTTGAATGTAGCTGTTTTTTGCAATCATCAAATCGATGGGTTTAGTTCCGCTTTAGGCCTCGTTCACACCATACGTGCATGGAAACTGATGCGCAGATTTCACTTGCAAAGGCATGTTTACATCAGTTTTCATGCACGCTTCAATGAGTTGTATATACCTTGCAGATTCCTGTGCAGAAAAAAATCTGCACATGACACTAGTGTGGTGGTGTGAACAGGGCACATAAAGAACAATTGATTTTACTGTGCTGTTGCAGAACGTGTGCAGAAAAACTCTGCATCATGGTGTTAACGAGCCCTTAAAGTGGAACTTTAGAAAGAAATTTGTGAACAGGTAGGTTTTTTTTAGTGCAGAAGAGGCATACTATGGGGTTGATTTGCTAAAACTGGAGAGTGCCCAATCTGCTGTTAATATGAAACTAATCAGCTTCCAGGTGTTGTCAAAGTTTAACCACTTGCCCTCCAGTGGATTTACCCCTTTCCTGACCAGGCCATTTTCTGAGATACAGCACTGCGTTACATTAACTGACAATTGCACGGTCATGCAACGCTGCAACCATATGTAATTTATGTCCTTTTTTCCCACAAATGGAGCTTCCTTTCAGTGGTAATTGATCACCTCTGCAATTTTATTTTTTGCGCTATAAACAAAAAACAACTGACAATTTTGAAAAATAAAACAGTATTTTTTGATAAAAAACATATCCATTAAAAAAAATTAAAAATCTAATTTCGGCATAAATTTAGGCCAAAATGTATTCTGCTACATGTCTTTGCTAAAAAAAAAAATCCCAATACGTGTAAATTACCGGTAATTGGTTTACGCGAAAGTTATACGGTCTAAAAATGGCGGTATATATATACTGCAATAAAAAAAATATTTATACTAGTAATGGCGGCAATCAGCGACTTATAGCGGGACTGAGGTGGGAATTCTTACACTGGGGGGGGGGCTGACTGTCACTGACATCCCCAGTGACACTAATACAGTAATCAGTGCTAATAGAAAGCACTGACACTGTACTAATGACACTGGGCAGGAAGGGATTAACATGTGGGGCGGTCAAAGGGTTAACTGTGTGCTGTTTTACTATTTTGTCTGTGTGTGCTTTACTGTGTAAGCATGCTGCTTTGTGTTGCTCTGCTATGCAGAGGAATACAAAGCAGCATGCTGGTGCTGACAGGGGAGAGGTCTGTATTGTTTACATACAGACCTCTCCTCTGTCAAGTGTTCCTCGCCGAGTGCTGGCGGGGAATCTCCAGCCTAGACCCAGTGATCGACAGCTGTAGCCGCCAATGGTGGCGCGGGTAGGGTGGTGCGTGCGTGTGCCCCCTACCCGGAAATACAAAATCACGCATATTTACGTGATTTTGCGCAGCCCTACTGCCCTGTAGCAGTACTTCTGCTATAGGGCGGTCGGGAAGCGGTTAATTGAACAAGCTGATGTTATAAGGTGATTGGCTACCATGCACAGCTGCACCAGATTTTGCACTCTCTAGTTTTAGTAAATCAACCCCAATTTCTCTTCTGCATCAAATTTTCTTACCTGCTTAGTGTTCAATTTCGGAAATACCAAGATGAATGAATTCTTGTGCATGTGACAGTGGATGTCACCTCAAAACGCCAATGAAAACGTCTGAGGATCTGTGCCCCAAAGCAGACCAGCTGAAAATTTTGAAAAATGATGTCAGTGGCCGGCAGGGAGCTCAAGGACAGCGCAGCTCTAGCGTGAAGGTGAGTAAAGTTCAGCTTTAACTCGAACAAATCAACCCATTTGTCCATATTAAAAGATGTAATTCAAGTATGAATATGGATAGCTATATCCAACGCTTTATTCCTTGTGGGATACGCAGTTTGGTAGATGAAATATAGATTCCACAAAGCATTGTCAATGACTCAAACAATGAAGGGTATGTGGATAATCCTCCAGGTAGAATGTTAAACCAAAAAAAAGGTTATTAATATATATTCATTACCTACAAAAAATAAATACACAGCGTTTTGTGTACTAACACAGTTATTTAAAGCCACCCTATCATCAGCTTGACATGTCTTCTGTAGCTGCTCATTGTGGGGGATAAACATCTCACAGGTCACACACTGACACTAAAACCAAGATAAGGCTGTGGCAGTGTGATTGTGGTGCTCAGATACAGTTGAGACCCATTTTAAGCAATAAAAGTAAAGTATGTATGACATCCACGGAGCTTGTCCTTTCACGCACAAGACAGCAATTCCCTTCCCTTTAACCACTTGCCTAGCGGGCACTTTCACCCCCTTCCTGCCCAGGCCAATTTTCAGCTTTCAGCGCTGTCACACTTTGAATGACAATTGCGCGGTCATGCAACACTGTACCCATATGAAACATTTTTTTGAGACAGATAAAGCTTTCTTTTGGTGGTATTTAATCACCTCTGGGTTTTTTATTTTTTGATAAACAAACAAAAAACAACAGAAAAAAAAAAAGTTTTTTTCTTAGTTTCTGTTATAAATTTAGTAAATGAGTAATTTTTCTCCTTCACTGATGTGTGCTAATGAGGCTGCAGTGATGGGCACTGATAGGCACTGATGGGCATTCACAGACATCACTGATGAGCAGTGAAAGGCAGAATTCATATATAATGATTTTATCCTCCTGCGCTATAAAGTGAAAAATAAATATATAATTAATAACTAACAAAAGCTGCTAACGCCCAAACCTATAGGTGAAAATAGTGCTAAGAATATAAGTATATTTACATTATATTCTTAGTACTCATATATGGCACTGATAAGCAGCACTAACAAGCACTATTAGGTGGCATTGACTGGAACTGCTAGGCGGCACTAAAGGGGCAGCATTGACTGGCACTGATAGGCGGCACTGGTAGGTGGCTTTGATTGGCAGCACTCATAGGCAGCACTGATAGGTGGCACTGATAGGCAGCTCAGATGGGCACTGATTTGTGGCACTGACAGGTGGCATTGATGGGGCTACACTGATCATCAGTGCCCTGATGATCAGTGTAGATGTCCCCTATGAGGAATGCCGATTACTGGCTCTCCTCTCCTCACGAGCTGTCATTTTGCTGAAGCCTAGGCTGCCATTTTGCTGAAGCTGCCATTTTGCTGAAGCCCTCCGGGCCATGCCATTTTGCTGAAGCCCTCTGGGCCATTTTGCTGAAGCCCTCCAGGCCATGCACCTATAGCGAGCCATTTGCTAAAAACCAGTAGGACTTACTCATTGCTGTTGAGAGCCAAGGGGTGTTTGATCTTCAGAAATGTAAGGATATTTTCCAGTATTTCTCTTCCTGTCCTTTTTGGATCATAGTTAGATTCTCCATTTGCTGGATCTCTAAAATGCAGGTGAGCCATTGCGTGGCATCAAGTGAAGATGTTTTAGTAAAGAGTTTTCATAACGCTTGTTAGAAAGTGGTGTGTCATGCAGCAGGAAAGTTGCGGGGGTTACCTCCAAGAGACACCCTTGTGAGCATCTGGATCATCTACTCCACCATAGTCCTGAACTCTTTCAGTTGAGAGCATTCCCAGAAAATGTGAAGCAGGGTACCTTGGTCCCTTCTGATTCCATAAACCTCCAACAGGAACTCAAAACCTGAGGGAAAATTCTGTGTAGCGCCACAGGCGTTCGATACCAACATGTTAGAAGTTTATAACCTCCCCTCCTGATATCTGTTAGCTACGGAAGTCTTGTGGGCAAAGAGAAATATCCTATCTGTTTAGGGGAGAAAGTTGTGTTTATGTCTCTTTCCCATGTCTGCAGAAAAAGGAAGCTCCTGTGGGGCACTAAGAGTGGTCAAGGTAGCATAGAAATAAGAAGAGTGTCGGATAGGTTCTCCTGCCAAACAGGTTTGCTCAAAAGAGGAGGGTTCCAGCACCGAGTGAATTTACGAAGGTAATGAATGCAAGTAGGCTTTTAACTGAGCTTGACAGAAGAAATCCAGGTCTTACAGAAAGGTGAAGTCCAGTTTCTATGCTGACATGGGGCGATGATCGGTAGAAAAGTGTAGGAGTTGCAAAGACCCTAGATGTTGCAGCCCTAAAAAAACGCAGGTCTTTAATGCTAAGTTGAAAGTCATATGAGCCTAGGATAGGTGCTAAGATAGGGAGATATATTGATATGTTGAAAACACTTGCCAGATGATCCGTAAAGTGGCTCCCACTAGAGGATGGTATTTAACGGTGAAAGCAATTGACTTTTCCGGGTGCCAGGGTAATCCCTTTAAAGGAGGGGTCAACGGTTGCCTGTTCAAAGTGTACTTATAGCTTTTTACCTTGCGTTATGCACCAGTCAACCACCCTAGGTGAGTGGCTTTGTGATACCTCACAGAAATGGCTCTAGGGTTAAGATAAAAATGAGGGGAGACAAGGGGCACCCCTGCCTTGTTCCACTGCGTATGGGAAGGGGGCAGAGAGCAAATCATTGGCCTTGACATGAGCTGAAAGGTGGGAATATAATGCAGTGATCAAGTGCCTCTTCCCAGAACCAAACCAATATAGTCCATAGTGGCATGTAAGAAAGGCCAGGCTACCTTGTCAAATACTTTCTTGGTATCCGTCGAAAGAAGCCCCATCGGTATGAGGAAAGTTTGGGAATTGTATATGCATGTTGTCTCTGCATTCCTTGTATAGGGTGAAGCCTGATTGGTCAGTATGTATCAAGCTTGGAAGGTACGATATATTGCCAAAAGTAATGGGACACCCCTCCAAGTCATTGGATTCAGGTGTTCCAATCACCTCC